TTAAACTAAATATCGATTCCCATTTGGTATCAACAAAGTTAAAAATATCTATTTGCATATCGTGACGCATTATCGCGAATTAAACATACTTTTCCTAGTTTACATGTATACTTATCTATCCCGTTTAACTATCTATCTATCTATTTCTCAATCCTTTTTACTGGTTGCTCAATTATGGTTGATTTTAAATATAGAAAAGGTCAGCATTGTGTTACAAAAATATCAGATTAGTCAAAAAAAAAAAAAAAAAAAAAAATACAACAGAATACATTTTTATTTTATCTTTGAATTCATCAAAACAAAAAAGGAATTGTCGAAATAAACCAGTGGGTAGTAAAAACGAGAAAGAACATTTCAACAAAAAAATGACGAGGGTTTCTGGTAATCGTTTGGTTTATAATCGTAAAGCTGAAATATTACAACCAACAACAACAACAAAATAAAACAAACATAAACTTGCATAGGCTAAAATTAACGAGATTTGCGAGCGTAATAACGAAGGATATTTTGGCGCATGTTGAAGTTTCTAAACCGACAGTGGTGATGGTGAAAATGGTGGATATGAAGGAAAGGTTAAAGTAGGGGAGGGTGTGTGCTAGGTTGTAGAATGAAAACGATGCTGCTTTTGTAGGTGGCAGAATTGCTAATGGTGCTTAAGTAAGCTCCCATTGAGAATACGGTTGGTAGTATCTCGAGATCAATTTCAAAGGACGACAACGACGATATTTTCGTCGACAAAATCATCCTCTCGGTTTCTTTTTTTCCTATTTGTGTGTATATGTATGTGTTATTATTTTTATTTTATTACATGTCCAAAATCGTGACGAAAATCTCATTGTCATTTCATTTTATTCTCCTACGTAAAATAAGTGCATAACCAACCCAACGTAGGTAATAAAATGTACCCACGGAAATTGCACATATTACGTGAAAATATATACGGATACATATATAGTACATACACGTACACGTATAAACCTATATATATGTATATATATATATGTATATGTATTTCGTATGAAGGAAGAATATGATTCCACGTTTTGTAAGTTTCCATAAATGTAGAAAATCCGATGATCGGACTTAACAGCTTTCTAAATCCTTTTGTAGAGAATCCTATTTCCGACAAATCTAAATTTTACACACATATACAGATTTATTTTTAAAATGTCTACGAATCACAATTTATCTTCCACATGTGATTTTTACGAAAATATAAATTATTATTCGAATTTTAAATGCACACCTATAAAAAGCATGTTCGAAGAAAATGACATATAGAGTTAATTCAAATGAATATTCAATACAATTTTATGTCCAATGTTCGTAAAGAAAATCAATTATTTGTTAATTACGGTGTATCAAAAAGGTGAGACACTTTTAATACCATCGTGCCTTAAAGGGTTAAAAAAAACTTACTTGGGAATATCGCCGATCCTTGGACGACGGCATATTCGGGGACAGACGTTTCCCCATATGTTGCAGGCTGTAACAAAATAATCAAAAAAACAACTCGTTAGAAAAAAAAAACATAGAACAAAATAGAACATTAACTTTTATGTGTGTAGCAGATTAAGTTATCAAAATAAAATAAAATAAAATGGTCAGGGATATTTTTCGAGAATAATAATAATACTGTAAAAAGATTCAAACAAAAATGAGCATGCAGAAATGAACGATATCGTAAGGGGAAATTCGCTATTTCCTTTTTAGCTCATCCAAACGGAACTATGCAACTGGTATAATAATCATTCGGTTACTACAGATCAAAATGAGATGAAAGATATATCTTAATCTTAGAAAGATCTTTCATTAATCGATCGTTTATCAATCAAAACGAAATCAAAAGAAATTCATATATATGAATGTGTATGAATGATTGTGAGATACGTTTCATGTGACAAAATAACAAAACATATCAAACAAATGGACCACCCCATTGATAAATTTTCCGAACGTATCTATTACAAACGTTTCTATCTAATCGTCAAAAATAAACTATTTTTCATGAATATATGAATGTGTATGAATGATTGTGAGATATGTATCAAAATTGGCATTGAAGGAATCGTTCATTTCAAATGGAAAGTACGGAAACGTTTAATTCGAATATCAGAATACCTTCGGAACATCGAGGTTAATTGCGATTCATTGCAATTTGTGATCCGGCACTTCCCCGTTATAACATCTCTCTCTCTCTCTCTCTCTTTCTCATACACACACATAGGAAGACATGGATACACTTTGTCTCACTTTTGCTAGAATGGTTTGAAACCTCTTGTACTAGGCAGCAACCCTGTTCATTCCCATCATCGATCCATGCTAGCCGACGTAGCATTTACTAATTACAAAGTTCACCTTTTGAACAATTACGATGCAAGATGCCACCGACGACTATGACTACGACGATGACGACGATGACTATGATGACGATGATTATAATGACGAGGGGTGGAGAAGGAAGAGGAGGAGAATCAGGAGGAGGAGGAGGAGGAGGTGGACAAATGATGTGGAAAGTGACGAAAGCGATATTCTCGCAAGGCCAACCATCCAGTATCGCTACCAAGCGTGAAACGATCAACTTCCTCTTTCCATGATGAAATCAAATTTACGAACGGTTAATGATTTTAACATCATTTACGAGCCCGTTTATGCATGAGAATGTAATCGAAATATATAGATAGATAGATAGATAGATAGATAGATATAGAAAAGAGAGATAAATTACTAAATTATTTTAATTATTTAACTCTTCAAAAGAATATTAACAACTATTATGTATTATTTAATACAATTCACAAAGTAAAATAGTTAAATATATAATATATATTTTCTAAATACGAAATTATTTCTATCTATGAAGAATGATTATTATTATTATATAAATTATAATTATTTATATAAAAAAAAAACAAAGATAATATATATATGGAATAAAAAAGTAGATGGTATTTACGTTGGAAAAATACTCGACGAAATAACACTTATCTTACCTACTCTTTTGAAAGACCCAGAGGTAACTTGAAAAGATAATGTTTACACGTGTAAACGTCTCGAGGTAAAAGACGATTCTGATGTTCAAAGTTAAAAGAAAATATTACAGTTAAATGAGAATAGGAGAAAATAAATAATACAAATCATCTTCGATAGTCGTCTCCGTGGTGGCCAATAATAATAACAATAACAATGAAGACAATAACTGGGTTCGTATGTCAAAGGTTAAATGCAAACGTAGAAAGAGAAAGAGAAAGAGAGAGAGAGAGAGAGAGATAAAGAGAACAACCATGAAGAATAGATTATTATTTATTCATAGATTTTATCATTTTAGTCATCGACGTAAAGAAATAACCGAGCAACATTCTCTTATGTTTGCGATCAATCGATGAAAAATGCATATTTCTTTTTTTATATAAATTTCAAATGACAAATAATTATTTTTTATTGAATTATTTATTATCAATGATAATTTCATTTATTTGAAAAAATTATATTATATTATATTTATATTAAAGTTAGGTACTTACGTATTAACGCCACCGCGGCAAAATTTTGCTAATAAGCCAATCTACACCTTAAATTGTTGCGATAAATCAAAGAATAAAAAAAATGACGCAACCTTGACCAAACCCTGACAAAACCCTGACAAAACCCTGACGGTTGCTGTGTGCAAACAACAAGGTGGTTGTATGCAAACAACAAGATTGCTCTTTATTGGCGCATTAGCGAAATTTTTGCTGCGGTGCCATGGCGTTAATATGTAAATACCTAAAATTATATATTTTTTAATAATTATATATATATATTATATATTAAAATATATAATTTTAATATATTAATAATAAAATAATATAAAAATAATGATATAAAATTATATTACATTATTTTTGATTTTATTTTTCAATGCGAATCCTGATACTTATTAATGATAAATGATTGAAACGTGAGCTATGAAATTTCTTTCGATAGCTTTAGATAAAATTGTTTGCTATATCTATTATTTTATTCTTTTCAAGTTTTCTTTATCCTTAAACTCAACATGAGAGAATTTTTTCTCTGGTCTCTCTCTCTCTCTCTCTCTCTCTCTTCGGATTACGATAAAGAAGAAAATAAAAAAACCAAGAAGAAGAAGAAGAAGATGAAGAAGACGTGAAAGTTAAAGAAAAAAAAATTGAACAAGTTAAGATGAAAAAGAAAAAGAAAAAGAAAAAGAAACGAAGAAATGAAACTTTGTTGAAAACATGAACGATGATTACTATCTCTCCATCGTAGTTGTGTGTATCATTCTTATCCTATTATTTTATATATTATTAAACCACAATTATTATCTAAAAAAAAAAAAACAAAAACAAAAAAAAATATTAAAGAAAAAAATCAATAAAAATTATTTTTCGATCATCGTAGTAAAAATTGATTGGTTTTTTTTTTTCTTTATTTACTTGTGGTAAATGGTATATTATAACATTTAAATGTGAGAATATTAGTGGGGGAATATTAGTTAAAATATTGGCATGAACTTTGGTCCAGTTATTTGAAGTTAGCATGAACGAACCATAGACGAAAACGAGGATATGACCGAGATAATTCAAACACGTTGTTAAGGTCGAAACAACTATCGAACTGATATACTTGCATCTCTTTCTTCCCTCCCTCCCCCACTCTCTCTCTCTCACTCTCTATCTCTCTCTCTCTCTCTCTCTATTTTATTTCAATAATTGTTTTTTTTTTAAATTGATTATTATAATTAACAAAAATTAAATCGTAATCTTAATGAAACATATCCAACGATAATATAATGTTTTTTTATTTTTTTTTATTCATCATTAACAAAATTAACTTTAAAAGATATTCAATGATTTTGTACAAAAAAAAAAAAAAAGAAAAAAATCAGAAAAAAAAGAAGAAGAAGAAGAAGAAGAAAAGGAAAGTGAAATTTTCTAACTCGTTTGAATTAACCATCCGACACTTCAATAAAAAAAAAAAAAAAAAAAAAAAAAAAAAAA